GTGTCGGTGGGGTCGGGGGGTTGCGGGGGTTGCGGGGGAGTGTTGTAACCATGTATGATATGGCAACGTTGTGATGAGTCAACATTAGGGGCTTCATTCGTGCTCCCGGCCTGTGAGTTTGCGTTGTGTTTTGGGTAGCCATGCTGCTAATGTAGCCTACGGGTTCTACCAGAAGTGTGTCTGCAATGATAGATAAAAAAACACAGTGTCACATCCGGTACTAACAAAAACACACAGCATGTCGTTATGGTACGTTAACTGTGGCCCAAATTTGAGAGCGAATAGCAGTGAATGCTCATGCTAACATGATAAATCTTCTTCCTGTGGGTGTTCAATCCCCTGTATGTGATTGGTCAAAGAAGCACCTTTGCCGGATGATGTCACTCTCCGGTGTGGCAAAAGTTGAACCAGATCCAAATTTTTTTGGTTGCGGTCAACACTGTCCCCCATAGAAATGAACGGAGGGGGCTGTGTTACAAAAGCATGCTCTAAAGTCTTTTTTGTTTGTTTGTTTGTTTTTTTGCATAAAATTCCTTTGTGTTTTTATAGTTTTTTCTTTGCTAAGCTGCAGCAGAGGATTAGTAACAAAGAGGGAGTTTGACAAAAATGCTTTGTACATATATGTTAATTTTGTTTAAACTACGAGGCAGTGGAACTGCCTCATCACAGGAGAGAGAGTTTTCATAAAGTGCAGCTGTTTAGTTCTTTAGCCAGATTAAGTTAGGATAAGTAATTGGATCTGGCTGTCTGGACTGTACATTGAGACACTGGTTACGAGTAGGCATCAAAAACAAAAGTGGAGATCTGCAAAATGAAGCGGAATAAACACTTCTTGAAATGAAAGTCTACTTACTGAATGTGTCAACTGAGCGGCAACATTTAGCAGAGTCAGTGTGTCACAGTTTTGTGGGCAGTGACTATTTTCCAGGTAGAGTGTGTGTGTGTAACTTAAATAGATTTCTTTAAGCGCACAGTGGCCTAAGTTTCCATTCGGTGGTTGCTGCAGGAAGTGTCTTGTTTTGTTGCTGCCTTCAGAAAGGCCCACTTCTCTGTGTGGGGCTTTTTCATACTTTACATGGCCATTTATAAGTTGTCATTCACAGCTGAGCATCAGGTCACCATAACCTCTTCAACCAGCCCAACCTGCCTGGCCTGCTTTGTTCTTTTTCTGTTATGGTGTCCACATTCTTCCAAAGTCACGTGCACACTGAAGAATGTTTCGCTGCAACTTCAGTGTACCAGAGCTGAAGGAATAATGCCCTGGAGTCAAATACATTAACTCAATTAATGTAACTGAGACGTTCCTAAGTTTCACATATAATTCCAGCACCATAAAATATGCATTTCTGCTTCCGCTGACTTTTAGTATGATTTAATTTTTGTCTGATATGTTAAATATATTTCACTGTGATTTAATTTTTTTTGTATAATTGTGCTGTATTTTAATATCAGACTATTCTGTTTCTGCTCCTTTGAGTGTACACCAATGTATTTGTGTTTTGTGTGTCTGCAGATGGACTTGGAGCCAGAGGGCAAGGTCTACATCCTTATTATGCTCACTGGATCCTTCACTGATGGTAAGGCTGCTAATGTAGATTTAAAATCAGCCCAGAGTTTCTCCTCATCCTTAATTATGGCCCTTCATGTCTGTTTGTTTTTTCCTTTTTTAAACACTCAAAAGTGCTAAACACTTATACCAGCCCAGGCACTGTCTTGTCTAGTTTGTGAAACACTTCCTGCAGTGTCTAATAATTATGATTTATGAGCCATTAAATACCTAGAGTGCATCTGTTTAATAGCTATAGAACCTCTGAAAATAAGCGTGCATACCTGAATTTGTGAATGCGGATGCTCTTGTGTAGCTCGATTAGGTTGGTATGTGACAGATGCAGTATGCTCTCTCTGGCTAATTTCATGATGAGAGGAAAGTTTGAACATCAAAAGACATCAGTGTTGGGCACATTTATGCTTTGATATGTGTGCAGTCTTTAAGTCAAAGAGAGGTAGCTGGTTAAACAAGCAGGAAGTGACTTTACAGGTTTGTTTAAGGAGAAGTCTGATCAGGTGGTTAATAATAGCCCTGTGTTGAGTTCCCCTTTTTTTTTTTTTAATCAGTTGCCATCACGCCTCAGTGCACATCACACTGCATGAAACATTTAATTAACTTATGGAATACACACCACATATTAAAGTTGCTGCTTTAGTTTCCTCCTAAAGGCCAAGCAGCATTGAGTCTACAGTCAGCTGCAAAACGTACTGTAATAGAAATCACAAGTTCACACTGTAGGTGACAGATGGTGAATGCATTGTTCTGTGATTTTACATATTGTCTCAACTCTTTCTAATTTGGGGTTGTAATTACATCTCCAGTAAATAAGGAGCAAATAGTGGCCTTAATTTGGAGCTCTACACCAACTCCTTTGAAAAAGTATTTGGATCTTTAGCTGACATTTTCTTCAGCAGCTAGTCACTATATTTGTCTGTTTGGTGTTCATTGCTTGGCAAGTAGCGTCCAGTGGGCCGATGTTTTTTTTGTTGTTGTCGTTGAAAAGTGCTGCCTACTAAGGCCAAATGTGACACTGTGGGAGCTGTGTGAAAGAGCTGAAACGGTAAAGTTGATGATCACAAAAACCAAAACCATGACCTGAAAAATGCTGAAAATCTCCATAGAGCTGAGGAGAAATGCAGAGGTGGCTGATTATTCTTTGTGGGTGTGTCACTGCAAGTGACCCACTTTAAGTACAAGAAGTGATATGATTTATTTAGTTTTTCTAAAATATTGATTATAGCTGCTTTAGAAAACAGATCAATTATAAGTTTTCAAACTCTAGCTCTAAAATGTTATTGGGTCTTTTGGAGTTGCTGTGCGACTTACTGACTGCAGCGCCTCTCCTGTTGTTTGAAGACAAACTTGCTCTCATGTTGTTGCCAGATGATGCCATGGTGAAAGAGAAAACCTTCAAACAGTTCACAAGGAAGCGGCAGGGAGCCGTGAGACGGAGGATCCACCAGGTTAACGGACACAAGTTCATGTCCACTTTCCTGCGGCAGCCCACCTTCTGCTTTCACTGCAAAGAGTTCATCTGGTGAGGAAGTCGAGCACAGACTAATCTCTGCTGCCTGCATGTCTCTGTAGACTCATTGTGTCTCTGTCTCTGTTATAGGGGTGTCTTTGGAAAGCAGGGTTACCAGTGCCAAGGTTAGCAGACCTTAGTTCTTCCTCTCTGCTGTTAAACATATAGTAAAGGCACAGACTGTGAATTTGACACCGAGCGGTTGTCTTTTCAGTGTGTACCTGTGTTGTTCACAAACGGTGCCACCAGCAGGTCGTCACAGTGTGTCCACGCATGAAGAAGCAAGAGCAAGAAGAGGTAACAGCAGTTTGACTGTCGACTAATCAACAGTCTCCCTGTTCAGTAACAGTATCACACTGCTGTTGTTGACAAAACACTAACAAAGTAACCAGTGTTCTTGAACGTTTCTGCCACTCAAGCATGTTGCCACTGTTGGATAACAGACCTGTTATACAACACACTTCTGATTAACACCTGCAGTGATCAGCAGACTGAACAGTTTCCTGTTTCTGTATTGAGCTGGTCCCTGAACCAGAACACTGTACTACACTATACTTTTCCACCCATGCTTGTTATGGCACTCTCGTTCCTATAAATACGTTTGGGCTCATTTTAGCATTTTAACTTTTTTTTTTTTTTTTCTGTTTTCCTAAAGTATATTTTGCTGAACATTACAATTGTTTAATTGGAAATTCAGAGAGAAACAAGTACAACATTAATTATTTCCATTAAAAAAATAGTTTCTCACACTACTCTTTGTGTGGCAATTTATGGTTTAGAATGCGTATACACATGATTGAACACACTGTTGCAACACACTGTGTGTAGTTAACAGTGCGTCTTCTCTCCACAGCCCATAAACCAGGGCTTCAGCATCAACGTCCCTCATAAGTTCAACCTTCACAACTACAAGTCACCCACCTTTTGCGACCACTGTGGGTCATTGCTGTGGGGGATAGTCAGGCAGGGACTCCACTGTAAAAGTAAGACCAGTGTCAGCATATGTGTCACAAAGTCAGTGTATCAAATCTTCTTCTTGTTTTTCATGATGTTCCTGTGGGGTTTCTTTTCAGTTTGTAAAATGAATGTTCACATCCGCTGCAAAGGCAACGTAGCACCAAACTGTGGGGTCAACACTGTCCAACTGGCCAATAAACTTGCAGAGATGGGTCTGCAGGCCGGAGGACTCTCTAAACGCAACTCAATGGTACAAGGGCTGAGTTTTTCAGAAGGAATCAAATTAGTGTTCATTTTATATAAGCGTGGCTTTAATTAGGTTAATCTAATATAGTTTTTTTTTTTTCTTTTGCACTGACAGGCCAGAAATCCTAGTCAGATGAGAGCACCCTCTCAAAGGAGGGAGAGTAATGAAACTCAGCAGCAGACCCCTCAGCTGGGCCTTTCAGATTTCACGTTCCTTCAAGTGCTTGGCAAGGGCAGCTTTGGCAAGGTGGGAGTAATATATCAGTCAGTAACATAATAAATTTACTTGAACACATTTTACCTATGAACCTGTGAATACTCATCTCTCAGGCTGTGTGTATGTCGTATCTGCAGGTGATGCTGGCGAGGCTAAACACGAAAGAATGTGTGTTTGCTGTCAAGGTGTTGAAAAAGGACATAATTTTGCAAGATGACGATGTGGAGTGTACCATGACAGAGAAGAGGGTGTTGTCACTGGCCCGCTGTCATCCCTACCTCACACAACTGTACTGCTGTTTCCAGACACTGGTTAGTATAATCATGTATGCACGTACTCGTGTCTGCATTCACCAAGTTTGCATCATGAAGCCAATCTGTGCATTTTTAGTTATATCATGTATTTCTTTCATACTTTGTCAACATCTCCGAACGGGACCCGCGTATGTTTTGTTTACGTGCACCATGGTGAGGTATGATTTTGGCCAATTACCACTTTGCACCAGACTGGCATATGTCAACATCTCCATGATGGATTGCCATGAAATTTTGTGATCGTTTGACTTTGCCATGTCTCAACATTTACTGTGTGGATTAGCATAAAATCTTACACAGTGGCACACAGTGGATGGGCCTCCATGAGTTTGAAATGTGTGTTTTTTTATTTTATTTATTTATTTATTTTAAATATCTCAACAACAATAGGATGGATGGGCAAACAGTGTCCCCCTCAGGATGAATTAGCGCCACCATCAGGTCAGTTTTTATTTGGCCAATGCTTTGGTTCATGATTCATCTGATGTCATTACATTCACATCAGGACTGTTTGGCAGCCGCCCCCTGGTGGCTGATTGCAGTATAGGTCACAAATCCCGCCCCCTTTAAATTAGTGGATGGGACATTAGATTAGATTAGATTAGATTCAACTTTATTGTCATTACCCATGTTACAAGTACAAGGCAACGAAATGCAGTTTAGCATCTAACCAGCAGTGCAATAACAGTGCAATAGCAGTGCAGAGTGCACAGTATTTACAGTTTGTACAGTCTGAACTAATGTACCGAAAGATATGTACTATTGATGTTTACAGTAAGATATGTAGGGTAATGTACAATGTACAACAGACTATGGATTCAAATTACAAGTAATGGACAGAGTACATTAAGCTTATGGAAGACTAGTGCAGTGGCATGAGAATGGGCAGAGTTCAGTAAAGAGACAGCTGTGGGGAAGAAGCTGTTCCTGAGTCTACTGGTTTTGGTCTGGAGGCTCCTGAAGCACCTCCCAGAGGGTAAGGGGTCAAACAGTTTGTGAGCAGGGTGAGAGGAGTCCTTGAGAATGCTGCGAGCATGTTGGAGGCAGTGTTCCCTGTGGACAACCTCAATGGCTGGAAGTGGAGTCCTTGTGATGTGTTGGGCAGTTTTCACCACCCGCTGCAGCACCTTGTGGTCAGAGACAGAGCAGTTTCCATACCAGACTGTGATACAGCTGTTCAGGATGCTCTCAATGGCACAGCGGTAGAAGTTCACCAGGATGGCTGAATACAGGTGGTTCTTCTTCAGTGTCCTCAGAAAGAGGCTGGTGAGCCTTCTTAACCAGGCTGCGGGTGTTGGTGGTCCAGGGACATGAGCCAAAATAAAAACTCAAAGTACAAATTACATTTTTCTCAGGTGATTTCTGTCATTTTTGGTAGATATTATCAAGTTGTGTACAAGTGGTCATTTTTCTGGTAGGTTAAGTTACTTGATGATATAAAAGGGGTGTATATGAGTAATTGACAGCCTGATGCTCCACCTCGGGTTACAACTGTGCAGAATCTGCTTGCAAAAAAGTAAGATGGCAGCAGCCGTATTCATATTTTGGTTTCACTTTTGCGTAGTGAGGGGAGGTGGTGATGTGACAGCCATCTTACAGCATATACAGTGGGTACGGAAAGTATTCAGACCCCCTTAAATTTTTCACTCTTTGTTATATTGCAGCCTTGTGCTAAAATCATTTAAGCTCATTTTTTTCCTCATTAATGTACACACAGCACCCCATATTGACAGAAACACACAGAATTTTTGACATTTTTGCAGATTTATTAAAAAGAAAAACTGAAATATCACATGGTCATAAGTATTCAGACCCTTTGCTCAGTATTTAGTAGAAGCACCCTTTGAGCTAATACAGCCATGAGTCTTTTTGGGAATGATGCAACAAGTTTTTCACACCTGCATTTGGGGATCCTCTGCCATTCCTCCTTGCAGATCCTCTCCAGTTCTGTAAGGTTGGATGGTAAACGTTGGTGGACAGCCATTTTCAGGTCTCTCCAGAGATGCTCAATTGGGTTTAAGTCAGGGCTCTGGCTGGGCCATTCAAGAACAGTCACAGAGTTGTTGTAAAGCCACTCCTTCGTTATTTTAGCTGCGTGCTTAGGGTCATTGTCTTGTTGGAAGGTGAACCTTCGGCCCAGTCTGAGGTCCTGAGCACTCTGGAGAAGGTTTTCGTCCAGGATATCCCTGTACTTGGCCGCATTCACCCTTCCCTCCATTGCAACCAGTCGTCCTGTCCCTGCAGCTGAAAAACACCCCCATAGCAGGATGCTGCCACCACCATGCTTCACTGTTGGGACTGTATTGGACAGGTGATGAGCAGTACCTTGTTTTCTCCACACATACCGCTTAGAATTAAGGCCAAAAAGTTCTATCTTGGTCTCATCAGACCAGAGAATCTTATTTATCACCATCTTGGAGTCCTTCAGGTGTTTTTTAGCAAACTCCAGGCAGGCTGTCATGTGTCTGGCACTGAGGAGAGGCT